CATATGTATTTGTAAATATGAAAGTTTTGGTGTGAGATAGATAAATATGAAGGTTTTGAGTTATGTATGAAAAGCCTCTAAAATTAAAAAATGAAAGAGTTAGTAATTAAATTAAATTAAAGTAGTATATTTAATTTACCTCGTTACTCGTTATCCACATCTTCCATAAATATTTTTTCTTCTATCATTCATCTTTTAATCAATTAATTTAACATGAAAAGTTTGTTTAAAATAACAATAAGCTAAACAAAATTAGTAAATGCTCATAATCTTAAACTACAATAGTACAAGAAAAAGATACATGCCAGTTAAATTTTTAATAAATCAATATAAACATTTGATGCTATTTAAAAATTCTGACTGTATCATTAACATATATATATAACTCTGTACAACCGTCACAAAATCACTGTCTAAGAAACTTTTATTAATTAAAATATTTTAATATCAATATCCTTTTCCATTTACGTTCACGAGTACATTAGCGTTCATCCACTAATACCGTAAAAAAAACGACTCTATCATAGCCAACCATGCACATGCAAACATATAATAAAAATATTATTTTCTAATAATAAATATTTTAATCTCATTTGCAAAGCAATCTTTATTATTGTATAAGGTTCAATATCTATGATAATTTAAATGAAGCCGAACACAGAGATAATTCTTACAATATGAACAAAATTCAATAGAAAAATAAATGCTATAACAATAACAATAAATGCATTTGGTAACATAAAAATAAAATATTACTATAGCAAAAGTATATGATTACTCACATCGATGATAGATGAGCTGTTTGTTCATAACTTATATCCCTTCTATCAATTTATCATCTATAAAATATAAAATATAAAATTTATTATTTTACTTAAATGTGCTTTAATTTTAATATCACTTAATCTTGAAGAAGCAAATGCTATGTGGGATGAAGTAACAAACACTATTAAACAAGTAACAAAAGATGTACTTGAAGAATAAAAAAAAAAGTATCTATAAATAAAAATAATTGATGGTGGAATAATAACGTGCAAGAAAAGATAAAATATAAGAAATTATATAATAAAAATTGGTTTAATTATAAAAACTTAGAGAACTAAGAAAAATATCAAATGACTCGTAGAAAGTCTAAAAAAACAATCTGTGATGTCAAAAATTCTGCTTTTAGTGATCTTTTTGATTGATTAGATACTGATGGTGAAAAATATATGCACAAACTAGCCAAACAAAGAGAAAATAGAAGTAAAGATTTAACCCAAGTAAAGTGCATTGAAGATAAAAATTAAAAAGTGATTTTCATAGAAAAAGATATTTAATATAGGTGGGCGAGTTATTTTGATAAACTTTTTAATGAAGTTTCTAAAAATACAATCGACTTTAGTGGTCTTAATATCGTTAATAATAATAAAATTTTTCATTTTTATCGTCATATTAGTAAAAAAGAAGTTGAGAAGACTTTAAAGAAAACCAAGGGTGGAAAGTCTGTAGGACTTGATGATATCCTAATTGAATTATAGAAATATTTAGGAGATTTGGAAGTTTCTTGGCTTACCAAACTCTTTAATATTATTTTAAAAACTAAAAAGATGCCTAAGGAGTGGAGTATTTTGGTCCTCATTTTAAAGAATAAAGGGGATGCACAAGATTGCAAATTATAGAGGAATTAAGTTGATGTGTCATACTTTAAAATTATGGGAGAGAGTAATTGAACATAGGTTAAGACGTATAACAAAGATTTCTTATAATTAATTTTGTTTTATACCAGGCAGGTCTATCATGGAAGCTATACATTTATTGAGAGGTTTGATGGAGAAGTTTAGAGATAATAAGGAGGATCTACATTTGATTTTTATTGATTTAGAAAAAGCTTACGATAAGGTTCCAAGAGATGTCCTTTGG